GTTCCTAGGATTATCTCAACATCTATTTTTATATATAATTATAATTTTTTTAATTTTAAAAATGGTTAAAATCAAGTAGATCTATAAACATATGAAAATCTTGAAAAAGTACGGTGTAGATAATATGTTGTAAAATGCACTATTTCTGAGACTTAAAATCCTTTTATTTTTCATAGTCATACATCTCGATGTCGAGATGATCAATCAAAGGGTATTTCAACATTAAAACTACCTTTTTCGATGGATTTTTTAGGGACATCCGTAGTTCTACATTATAAGGTAGCATCCTTATATAAACTTCTTCCTTTATCTGAACCACGTGCCGTATTTGAGTGGACGATATCTCTCTCGACCCATCAGCTAGACCGTGTGATTTCATTAAAGGGAACTATCGACGACCCAAATTTTTTTAGATTGTCATTAAAGGTCTTAAAAGACTCATTTAGAGTTGTAGCAGTTACATTTATTTTTAAGTTTCATTTCAAGGGTACCAACCCTAATTTAAAAACAAGGCTACCTCATTGAAAATTTGTGAAAATTTCTCAAATTATTCATGTTATCGATTGGGATCATTCAGGTACTTTGACCCATTTAAGTGGCTTGAGTTAAAATTATAAAGATGATTGTATATTATGAGATCATTTACTTTAAGCACAAGATGGTCACAATTATTTTTAGCCGTTAAATATGAAATCTCATAGATTATAATGTGTCACAACATTTGAGAACTTTTGTTTTGAACTTTGTACTCAATCAATGACACATCACCAACTATCTAATTTTGCATCTAATGATCAATAATGATTGTGACATTTGTATTTTAACAGTAAATGGTCTCATTGTATACATTTCCATCATAAAAATATGGGTATGATTTGTATAACGTTACAACGTTAAACAAGCCAATTAAGGCACACCTCTAAATTTTATCATAACATGTAATTTTGGTGTAAAAATTCTTAAGATTTTATGAAAATCTATTTTCATATCTAATTATATAATCTTAAACTCCAAAAATGGTTAAAATCAAGTAGATCTATAAACATATGAAATCTTGAAAATGGACGGTCTAAATAATGTGTTGCAAG